CACTTCCGTTGTCCCATCTCTGCCCTAGAGTCTGCAATGAAAGCTTGATCTCTTAATGGGAGCTGTGCTGTTCACCTCCGCCCACACATCCCCAACTCTGCGTTTCCCTTTCTAAAAGAGGTTTACCATGAAAGCAGGGTCTCTGCCCCCTCTCTGCATTATCGCTCCAAGGAACTTCCTCACTGTAGGAGGATGTGTGAGTGGAAGTCTTCTCTTCTGAACGTCTCTCCATCCAAGGTTCAGTGTGCTCGACGAAGGTGGTGGGTGGGTGTGCTAAGATGGCAAGAGAACTGAAATGGAACTCCCAGATCTTTCCGCCCACGTACCATTCCCTCATAAAGGCACCGGTTCTTTTTAGTCTGGCTATCTGCCTTCTCCATGTCAGCACGATTGTCAAGCTTTGTGTGATCTGCTGTGACTCATTCATCGTTTCAGGAGAGAACTGAACACTTTGCTTTCTTCGCAGATCGTGCAGAGACCGAACTGTTTTCTGGTGCTTTAGATAAATAAATGCAGCGCTCCTCTAATGGCTGTTGAACGTACTTACTGCTCTGAAACACATCCTTTTGAGAAATAGTGATGTGTGGCATCAAAGACATTTTTGGAAATGGAAAATCATCCAGTGGTTTAAATATAAATGACACAGGGAAAGCAAATGGTCTGCAGCTGAAGCACTGGGCTCTGTAAGAGTTTTACTAAATCCATTATAGATTCTATTTGTTTAGAAAAGCCAAAGCGAAATGAAGGAAGCAAAGGATTCATAATCACTTCAGGTGTCTTTCTACCAACCTGTTTTATTAGCAATCACAATTTATGCAAAGAAAAACTTACAATGGAATAACTCATGACATATGTTGTTATAGAGTTGACGCTATACAAAATAAATTGAATTGAAATTGAATTGAATATGTTAAATATGTGAATTCCTTGTCACTCAAGCTTTACAATGAGAACAAATATTGGTTTGTTTGAGAATATACATTGGTTTGTGTAGACGGCTGAGACTGTAAAGTTCTTCAAATTGACACATGAAACAAATACATACATACGCTGATCATCCATGACAATATAACCGCCTGCCTAGTGTTATGTAGAACCCCTGTTGCACTCTACAACAGCACTGATCCCTAAAGGCATGGTGTATTCTGACACCTCTCTTTTAAAACCAGCATTGACTTTTAATCAGTTTGAGCTCCAATAGCTCTTCTGTTGAATTGGACCCCACAGGCATTAGCTCCTCAAGTGCATCAATGAGCCTTACATACAACAAAACTTCAATGCTTTAATAGTGCATGAATTCACTAGGGTTTGGCCAATTGACGACGTCGCTATCCAGCGCCAGTCATTGACCATCACAACGTCAAGACTCATGTTTGATTTCCAAAAAAACTCCACTAGTACCTTTAGCCCTGCTTGATATACAGTTACAACTTATAAGAAGAACTTCTGTGGGTGCCAATATGTCTAAAGGCCCTGACACATCAAGGAGAACTTCGGCCAGCTGTCCTTGTTGTACAGTCGGTGAGCGGTTGTCGCCCTAGTTTTTGCGATGTGTCTGATTCCGTCGGCCTGTTTTGGCCGATCTGACATGTTGAATCGGCTTTGGTAAGAGGGATCTCTCTGATTGGCTGTTCGGAGGTTTCATTTATCTCATGCTCTCGACACGGGTTCGGGAAAGCCCCTTGAGCCTGCCGCTGTAGTATCCATTCTTTCACCCATTAGTGCGGTTTCTCCTTATTTGTCGCCTCCGCCTCTTCTTTTGTTTTTCCACAAAGACCAAGGAATTTTCAACTTTTTTCAACTTTTTATCAGACATTATTCTCTATTAGTAGGCTATCTATAATACGAGTGGTGCACGACAGTGGTGTGAAAATGGTCTTCTCGTTTCATAACGAGTTAGCTCCGCCCCTCACGCAGAACGTACGTGGTGGTTGGCCGTCGGCTGTAGTCTTTGCGGTGTGTTCTAGTGCGACTTTTTGGCCAAGACGTGAGGCGACGCCCGGGCAGCCTTCGTCGCCACGAGTTCTTTGCCGCCTGCTTGGTGTGTCAGGGCCTTTAGGCAATGGAAGTGAGTTATATTCTTTCTGAAAGAATTTGGGAATAATTGCTCAAAGCAAAATTGCATTGAGTTACAAAAGCCAGTGGTAGCTATCCAGACTTGATGTCAGATTCTTGTCTCTGTAGATTTCACCTGATCATTTTAAACCTGATCTCTTGACATTAGCATCTTTTGATGTGTGGCTCTTTGTATCCTTCTTTCTTCATTCATGTCAAAACTCGGATAAAAAGCGTCCTTTCTAGCATTTACTATTTAATGTATTATACAGAAGACTCTGCTCGCTTCAAAGAGATTTTTTGAGAGACTAAATATCATCTGAGATGCTCGTCCACTGAGCAGCTGAGAAAGCGTTGGTCTTACGCTTGACAAACTGCACAGACATCTTTCACAGTGTAAACTCTGTCTATAAAAAGCCAGAGGCCCTGCTGTGTACGAAACGCTTAACCAGCCTTGCATTGAGTACAAATGTTGTTATGTTTTGTTACACGCTTTCTTGTGTGTGTGATTGAGGTTATAATTTGATTTGTCTCCAAGCAGCACTGAGACGGATGACTAAAAATCTGTCTCTATAGCTACTGAACACTTTGCTATCTCCAACACAACAGGCCCTTACAGTGCCAATGACTTTGATTGAAATAGCACTGCTGGACAAGCAGAGAAATTGATGCAGGCATTTTTAATTAAAATGTAATAGCTTCATTACGTTCTCTCCATCATTGAGACAGGAGACGACTCACAATATGTTCTAAAAGGCCACTCGATGCACAATTTTGTTCCACCTTTCAGTACCTTCCTGTATGGCTGAAATGCATTGCTTTGTGCTTTAGTCGGACCCTGATGGCTCGGGGTATGATACCTGATATCCACTGCAGCACTTCACTAATGCATTCTCTTCCTTTTTTTATTGACCAACGCCATTTCCTTTCTGCAGGGATATATTCACCTTCTGCATGAACATACACAATAGCAAAGATCTCTCGTCAACTTTTTCACACAAAGTACTGCAAAGATGACCTCCTCTGACATAGCACCCATAAGATGATGAAGCTCCTGTATCTGCCTGTGACTCATCCTCATTATCTGCAAATTATACCACGGTATGGCAGAGATATCTTTTTGAGATTTGTCATTTTACAATGTGTCCAACTCCTTGTGAAGATGTTTCTAAAAATGATCCTCTGCCTACACTGATTCGTTGTCCAGAGCTGTAAAAAAACAACACATTGACCATGAAGCCAAACTAATGAGCTTAAAGACTAAAATGTAGAGAAATCTTTGTCGGGATTTTTCCACTGTGTTGTACTTTTTCTGTTGCACATTAATAAACGTAATTTTTCATATTCAGTTCCGGTTATTTCAGCTTTAAAGATGGGTTGAATCCACAGTATTTTTCAAAATAATTGCACTGACAATGTTTTTAATAAGAGCATTATTAATTTTTTGGCAACATATTATCAATTGTGATTTTGCAGTTTGTCGTACTGTCTCCCCCGTTAACATCCGACAGATTCCTCTCGCTGTATGTGAAATCATTTATTAGATTTGGCATTTGGTATAACATTACAGCTGAACATTTTCCGAGGCACATGATATGTTTTTAGATTGATTTCCTACCTTCCCAGCAGCAGCAGCAGAAGCAGGTTTGTCTTCATGCCAGGCTAATTCTGAAATAAATTCAGTTTAGATTGCTTATCCCTCACAGAGAACACAATCTAACATTTAACTTTATACAAAGTTTCTTTCTTTCTGTTTTTTCTTTTTTTTTTTGAGAGGGTCACGCCTGAATAACCGCGCATTTGCAGTTGCATCTCGCATACCCATGTTCACTCTAAAAGCATTGATTTGAAGGTCTTGTATTTCAGTTGCTTTGCGTTTTCAAATATCACTGAAGATGGAGCACTCGGCTCACCTCGGCCGTCGTTCCTCACAATGTCTCCTCCATGTCTGAGTACACAGAAGCCTACGAGGTCATGTTCATACTTGACTGCACATAAGCTTTTAAATAGTACAGTCTCTTCTATTTGCTTTGACATTTTTATGTGGCATCTACATTTAAATGTAGATGCCACAACCTTAAAGGCACGGCCTCCTTTACTTTTCAGCCTTGTGTGAGGAACAACCAGCAGACCCTGGTCAGAGGGACCTCAGGGACCTGCTGGTGTTATATGGCCTCAGCAGCTCAGTGACGTAAGCCGGAGCTTGACCATGCAGCGCTCTAAACACAATAACAAAAACTTTCAACTGGATTCTGAAGCTGATGGGGGTCCAGTATAAGGACAGGGTGACATGAGACCGTCTAGATGATTTCTGTTTGCTGTTAACATTGTGAATAATTACCCTTCAGTTTCAATTATAAGAAAGTAGAACCCATTGTAGACGAAGGGAGATGTGGTTCAACTGAAAATGAAATAAAACTCTTTATGTTAGGGGATTTCTTTATTTGTTACCATGTGCAGACAGACTTTTTCCTCCTTATTTGAGTGCCTCTCTAATTTCCTTGCTGTACTTAGCGGGCTGATGTGCTTGACGAGGTGGAAAATGTGCTTTTTATTGTACAGTAGCTTTGCCGCGTCTCCTGAGTCTCCGCTCATCTGATTTGATGCCGTAGGTTCTTTTTTTTTTCTCTCTCTTCACAACAGCTGTGCTTCTCTGTGTTAATGGAAGAGATGAAATCCACCTCAAACTGGGCTGTCAGGCTGCAGATATTGATCTATCAGTCATGCATTATCAATCAAAGGGTTATTGCTTATAGTTTCTCGGCTAGATCTGTGAAAAAGCATTAGACTTTGTCCTTATATCTCTGTAGGATTCAGAGAGAACGAGCCTCGTGTATGCTCAGGGTTTGGTTTGTAACTGAAGCTTCCATCAACACCTTTCTGTCTTTTATCAGTGTAGCTCGACTGAAACTGTGTCCTCTTTTTTTTTTCCCACTGTGTTTCAGCTACTTGAAGGCAGCTTCATGTCCCAGGTCAGCCACGAAGTCGACGGGCTTATCTTCCAGCCGTGCGGGGTGAGTCTCCATGCATGTCTCACAATCTGTTACCTTTCACGCCATAGGTTGACTGTGGGTTACACCTTTCTTTTTTTTTTCTCAAAAAAACGCTCCTACATAAAAATGACACTTTTACAGCCGGCTGTTTGTCACCCTTTCATAGAAAAGTCTCGCCTACTGTTGTTGTAAACAAACCACACTCCTGCGTGATTTCACATAAACAAAAGTCCCTCTGTATCACACTGCACAGTAAAACAGGAACATGGCATTCTTTATGATGGAAACAGCCTTGGGTTAGAATACTGATTTACTCTGCGTTAGAAAAGCAGAAAATCACTTTTATCTGTGGCAGTAATGCTCTTCCTCCTTGTTCTTCCTGTGATGGATTCAAGGACCCAGATTCCACTGACAATCACATAAAATATATCTCACATCACATAAAGGTAAGGACAAGCATATGTGGAACCTTGCCGCAGGTAGATAAAGTGAATCCTGACTCGTAAGCTTCTTGAAGTTTTTTATCGTCGTCTCAGCTCTGCTACGTTCTTTTTCTTTGAATGGCCTGTTTCTCAATGTGTCTAAATTCTATAACTTCCTCAACATTTGAATGGTTTGCTTCAAAGAGGTTTATTTTAGTGCATTGAGGAAGTTATAGAAAAAGAATGTATCTCAGCTGAGACAATTAAAAAATGACTAGTCGCTGGTAAACACAATGGAAACACTTGGAAAGTATAAATTCAAATATTAAAAATGAGACCCATCTTAAGTAAGTAGGGTCAACATTACAATGGACAGGTAAGTGCTCTGGCCCCGGTTTCAAAAAAGCAATACTTTAAAAAACAGTAATACAGTATTAAACTGTAGAATCAAAACAAAAACCCTTAAAAACTCTTTGTATGTAATAATGATGATGTGTTTTTTTTTTCCAGTAGAACTGATCAAAACCAGACATTAAAAACTACCTCACCAGAGCAGAAACACACAGATTACACACAACAAGAGAACAGTAGCATTATGTTAAATTCAAAGAAACAATACTGAGTTCTAAATCAATTAAATTGTATAATAGTGATTCTTTTTTTTTTTTTTCTCTAGAGTCTCTGATTTTATCATTTGTCATACATTGGGTGAATTTTTAAAAGCTACAAGAGCAGACAAATGTTTGTTGGCTTGTTTGAATCGAACAGATTTGCATTACAAAGAGCTGAAGAAGCACAAAGGATTATGGGTGTTCACATTTTGTGTGTGGACACCTGCTTCGATTTAGTTTTGACCCCGTACATGTTGACAGTCTCTTCAGTCAGAGCTGAATAATCAATGGGATAAACAACGGTAGCCACTGCACAATGAGATGTTGTATCAGGTATTTGGTTTCCCTGCTTTAGACTGTGTTTGTTTCCACTTGCATTCAATCCATAAATACAGATCTTCCTGCCCCATGTGAGGAAGGGTGTGATTTGAAAAAGTCCTTGTTTGTGTCTTCTTCATTTCCCAGTTTCTCCCAAGTATCACCAGTTATCTCAAAATAATGAAAACACTTTATAATGAAGCTAATTTCCCCTGGGCTGAATAAGTGGATACAATTCTTGTTATTAAATTTTCCCTTTAAGAGGGGCGCAGATGGAATCACGGTTAGGTTCCGCCCCATCAATGGAGGCTTTAGTCCTCCATGTGGGCGGCCCGGGTTCAAGTCAGATCTGTGGCTTCTTCACCTTATGTCATTCCCCAATCTGTCATCCTGATTTCCTACTCTATCCACTGCCCTATCAAATTAAGGGAAAAACCCCAAAATACACCTTTAAAAAAGATTTCCCTTTAAACCTCTTTTTCCATTTTTATAGTTGCTTTTTTTATCATAAAGATAAATGCATCACACTTACAGCCTGCTAAGTTATATGAGCGTTTATGCATGACCTTGATAAATGAAAACATAAGGGGCTCATATAGATGTTGCACAGGACATAATCAGACACAGAATATGGCTCTGTTTGCCATAGTGTGTTGCTAAGAAGGGTGATTAGGTATGTTTACTCCTTTTTTAAAGCAGGAGACGCCTCCTGAAATTCTCTAGAAATGTTTATTACTTACTTCAACCTGTTTCATAACATCTAAAATCTCACAACAGGAGCTTTATTGGATTTGATGCAACGTTTTCAGATGTCAATTTAACAAATTAGAGAATTCTAAGTCTTTATTAGAGCCTGACCGATTTATCGGCAAGCTGATAATATTGGCTCACATTACCTTATCCAGTAGAGGTGGGAAAAAAATGGATTTATGTTAAAATCGAGATTCTTATCTTCTGAGATTTTAAATAGATTCATAATTTCCAAACATGGGGAAAAAAGAGAAAAACAACTTTTCTCTCTCCCCAATATTGATATCAGTATCTGTCCTCAAAATCTCATATCGGCCCCCAGTACCTCATATCGGTCGGGCCCTAGTCTTTATAGAGCAAATAAAAACTTGGCTATTCTAGGGAAACTTATTCAAGTAGTCTATGTTGTTGTCCCTCTTGTTGTTGGCTTTTTTTTTTTTTGCTTTTTGCTTTTCTCTATGATTGGTGAAGTAATTGTGTAAAACTGTGTCCATAGCCATCAGTTAGAAACAGTTCTCAGCAGGGGAGTTTGAGAGAATTTGGCAGCTGACACGTTTGTCATTTGCGAATCCAAAGCTAGGTAATTGTTGTCCCTGTCCTTGATCAAAATGATCAACATAAATGTTTTATTTTTGCAGGTGCTTGTAATTGCAGCCTTTCCATTGTGTTTAGTATAGACCTGTCGGGTAAATTATACTCTACCGTTTGTATTGGGAAGAGAAAGTGATGAATCTTTCCCCCCTTCATGTGATGCAAGACACTCTTCAGAGATTTTGTTTTTGTTTTTTGGGGAATGTAATGCATTTCTAAATAATACATTATCTTGATGAGATACTGGATTTGGATTTAGAGCTTTGGGGTAGCTGCTTTTGGAGCAGCCAGTTATTGATTCAGGTCATTTTTTCCCTCTGTGAATTTGATGGATCATCATCAATTGGGTCAGACAGGTGTTGTAATCTCCATGGATATGAGGATGTACTTTGGTTTTATTGAACCAGGTGAGAAAACAACATCATCCGCATCCCAGTCACGGATTAGAAACACACTGTTAAACAAGGCTTGTGATTTGTTTAGACAGGTGCTCTTTCCAAATTCTAAATGATTGCTGTTCAAAAAGCAGCCAGGTCGTGCAAATGCTCTGTCAATAAGAAAACTGATTGAACGGGCATGCTGTTTTTATAAAAAAAAAATGTCTCTGTTTTTTTTGGCATCTGTCTTTTTTTCGCTGTGATTATAACTCTCGCCTTATTTTGGATGAGAGTCCTTTCACAAAGCTGCAAGGCTGCTAGAACACACATCAAATTGAAGAAATTACCCCCATTGAGCAAGATTTCCATTTATCCAATTAAAACTGTCCTTGTCAAATTACCAATCGTTAAATGGTCTTTCAGCATCTTCATGATTCCCAGAGAAGGAAGTGTCTCCAAACTCTTGAAGGTCGGCAGCTGGTTCTGGTCCGCACAGGCGCTCAGACAAACGGGCCGGCTCAGAAAAGCTGGCATCGCCAATGTGGCTGAATGATGATGCAAATAATCTGCCATCTGATGTGAAGTTACAAAAGACAATATTAAAGCTGTTTGAGCAGCTCAATGACAACAAATAAACAGAATCCTTTATCTGTGAATCTTCTTTAAACAGAACAAAAGCCATGTATCATTTCCATCACATTATAAGACAATAAAACATAAATAATGAAGAACATTTATATGCAGCAAATATGCTTAAATGCAGAAAAGTACATAGCTGCTACTTAAAGCACCTGATTGATTACGGTGATGTTTTATGTATGCATGCATCTTCTCAGTGCTTAAAACCTTTGGATACTGTATATCATGGTGCATTGGGATTCATAAAACTGTCAGAGCCCTCACTCATCATCTTACATTGTATGATCGAGTTGGCTGGCCTGCATTGTCGGTGCGTTGACAAAGTCATTGGCATGTCTTTATTTATAAGGCTGTACTTAATCTGCTCCCTCATACTTGTGTTACTGTATTCATCTAAAAAAGTGCTGGAAGCTAAAGTCTTCCCTCTGAAAACCAGTCACAAAACGTACTGTTGCTATCTGTTCCCAAAGTGCGTCTTGAAACGGCTAAAAGGAGTTTCAGGTGCGCTGCTCCTGCAGGATGATCTGTGTCTGGGGGAACTGGTCTCCTTAAATCTTTTTAAAAGTAGATTGAAGGTGTTGGAGGAGAGTGCTTCAGGTTGTAGATGCTTTGAAAAATGACTTGTCTTCTCTGTGACTCAGGACATGTTGCTCTGTGTCTGTAATCCTCTCTGTTTTATGTCTGTAACTTGTTTGTTGTGCTGCTGTCCCTCTTGGCCAGGACACTCTTTTTAAATGAGATTCTTAATCTCAATGAGGTTCTCCCGGTTTAATACATTTAAAAGAAAAATGAAAAAAAGATGAGCCACTTACAAACCGCAGGCAAAACAACACTGCAATAGAGGTCATAACCATTGGAATGAATACATTTTTAGCAGGGCTGTGAAACAATTAAAGATGTATTAGTTAATCGTGATGAATCGCATGTTTGGAATTCCATTATTCCTCATTTAAAATAAAGATTGTGAGGCTTTATTTGGAATGATTGTACTGTCTTGAGCTGGGCGTATTGTACTCGCTGTTTGAAATCATCCTGCTTTTATTTTGAAATAAATTAAGGACCAACTGGTAGATTGAAGGTTACAACATTAACAGGAAAATAAGGAATTTGTTACAGTTTAGAAAATGGAACAAAAACAGCTACAAAGACGGTAAAAAAAGTGAGATGTTTGACGTCATAACGGGGTTTTGACTCGTCAACTCTGCTGTCTTTGAGTTTTTTGACGCAGCAGTGTCATTTTTCTCCAGACTGTGACTACAGGGAGACATAGTAAAGGGACAAAATAGCATGCAGTTAATCGCAATATTGAAAAG